TTTCTAGGAAGAAGTTGCTGCGGCTGAGGTCGAAGAGGTTGCTGCCTGTGTTCTCCTTTAGGATTTTGATGGACTCCTGTCTCACATTTAGGTCTTTCAACCAAAACACCATCAGTCTTATCCTGCCCACCCCCATCCTCTGGTAAGCACCATTTTACTCTGTTTTTTAGGAGTTTGCCTTTTTTAGGTTCCACATATAAGTGATATCATACATAAGTACTTAACTTTCTCTGACTTATTTTGCTTAGAATATCGTGCTCAAGGTCCATCATGTTGTTGCAAATGACAGGATATCCTCCTTTCTCAGGGCTGAACAACATTCCATCATGTATATTTACCACATCTTTTTTATCCTTTCGTCCATTGATGGGCATTCAGGTTGTTTCTGTATCTTGGCCATTGTGAATAATGCTGCAATAACATGGAGGTGCAAGTATCAGGTTGAACTCCTGTTTTCCTTTCCTTTGGGTATATGCCCAGAAGTGGAATTGCTGGATGGTGTGGTAGATCTATTTTTAATTTTTTGAGGAAACTCGATATTGGTTTTCATAGTGATTGGACCAATTGGCCTTCTCACGAACAGTGTTTTACACTGTTCCCTTTTCACGAGATCCTCACCAGCCCTTGTTGTTTCTTGTCTTGATGACAGCCATTCTAACAGGTGTGAGGTGATAGCTCCTTATGGCTTTGATTTGCATTTCCCTGATGCTTGGTGATGTTGCATATCTTTCCATGTGTCTATTGGCCATTTTGATGTCCTCTTTGGAAAAATGTCTATTTAGTTCTGTCCATTTTAAAATCAGATTTTTTGTTATTGAGTAGTATGATTCTTTATATATATTGAATATTAACCCCTTATGGATGGTTTGCAAAATTTTTCTCTCATTCTGTAGGTTGTCTTTTCATTTAGTTTCTTTTTCTGTGCAGAAGTTTTTGAGATTGATGTAGTTCCATTGCTGACTTTTGCTTTTGCAGTTTGTGCTCTTGGCATATTAAAAAAAAAATCATAGCCAGGGCCCCTGGGTGGCTCAGTTGTTAAGCGTCTGCCTTTGGCTCAGGGTCCTGGGATCGAGCCCCACATTGGGCTCCCTGCTCAGCGGGGAGCCTGCTTCTCCCTCTCCTACTCCCCCTGCTTGTGTTCCCTCTTTCGCTGTGTCTCTGTCAAATAAATAAAATCTTAAAAAAAAAAAAATCACTGCCAAGACCAATGTCAAAAAGCTTTTTCTGTACATTTTTTTCTGGTACTTCTCCATTTTTTTAAAAAAAGATTTATTTATTTTAGAGTGAGAGCGTGTGTGGGGGGGAGAGGGGCAGAAGGAGAGGGGAAGCAGACTCCTTGCTGAGCTCAGAGCCTGTCGTGGGGCTTGATTTCAAGACCCTGAGATCATGACCTGAGCTAAAATCAAGAGTTGGCCCTTGACCAACTGAGGCACCCAGGTGCCCCACTACTTCTCCATTTAAACACGAAGTTTTCTGAAAGTTTCAGGCTTTCTATACCAGTTCCCAAGATATTGAGGAGGGATGACTAGAAATAAGACAAGATAGTGTACCCACCCAGTTGTGTGTTGGTAAGTGTTTGACAATCAGCTCTCTGGTGCCCTGCTTTGTGGTGTTTGCCAATTTCTGTGCTGTAAATATTTCCACCATGGCTAACCTCAAACTATCAACAGCTTGACAACTGGCTCAAAAAATTCCTCAAAACTTAATGGCTGGCTGTCATAAGCTGGTAAGCGCTGGCTTCAGCACATCACTGGATCTATTTGCTCTCTGTATGTAATGACTTTTGTCTTCCCAACAATGTAATAAGCTCCCTAAGGGATGCAATTAGATTCTTGATCTCCAATAGGTTGATGGTACTATCATGGTTATAGACACAAAAGTACCGATTAAGGAGACTTTCCTGTGGATATACTGCTTTCTCAGAGCAATGACACAGCTAATAGCAGGGAGACCTGGGGGTAGGGAGGGCACAGGAAGGCTGGCTCCTCTTTCCACCAGCCTCAGGAAGGCAGTGAAAGAACATGGGAGCCACAGGATGGTTTCGATAAGGAAACCAGGCTCACCGAAAGTCAGATCAAGATACTGTAAGAATTCATCTCAGATTCACATCCAGATCTGACCAACACATCTTCCCCTTAGAGATTAGTGTATTTCCTGTCCAGGATCTGGTATGTACTTCGATGATGAGAATGAAATCTCTCAAGAAGTGGATCTGTGGTTTTCATCACAGACTGGCTAGGAAAGTGCCAAAGACTCAGTAAAAGGGCATTAAAATGACTATAAAGGTCTCACCTAACTGTATTGTTGATAAAGTGAGTGGAAGAGCTCCTAGAGTCCCTAAAGGCACAGGAAATAATAACCTTTCCCTGAGATACAAAAAGTGAGGGAAAAGGGTAAGATCGAAAGAGGATAATCTCTAACCACGTGAACTTGTCTTTCTGAGGTTTTTTGGAATTGGGAAAGATTTATAGATGTAGAACCACAGATTGGAAAAAACCCATGACTGCAACATAGCACAGAAATCCTTGGAGGGCAGCTCCTGGAGCAGAATCCCCCTGGGAGACTAAACAGTGTCAGCAGAGGGAACAGTTGGTAGACAGGCCTGAGTTCTGTCCACTCATTGAAAACCTTGATGTAGGAGAGCCAACGTTCTGCATTACGAGGCAACATCTGTCTCTAGGCTTTACATGTGTAGGTAGATATCTCGAAATCCTCCATATCTCATATTGGTCACGCATATGCCTTTGTATTTTCTGCCTCCTGACATCATGCTCAAATTGTGGTGACTGTGTCTATCCTTCATTTAGGATTTAAGAGACCTCCAGGAATTTTATAAAAAACTTGCCAGGATCTTTGCCTTACAAATGGAGTGGTGAAAAGGCTAGTGTAGAGATGAGGCGCATCTCCGCCCTGCACTGATGTGATGTCATGGATACCATCATAGTTGAAGCGTATGTTGTGAGGAGCTGTTTGAGTTGTAGTAGGGCTTATAGGATCCATCCACACTACTGTCCGTGTTACTTAAGAGGCAGCCAGCCCGCAAACACATACTGGATATTTACTGTAGCCAGGTACAATGCTGGGCATGGGGGAGACAAGGATAGTAAGACAGGGTGCTTTAGCTCAATAAGCTTACATTCCACTAGGGGGAGCCAAATCTATTAAATAAGCGTAACAAGACGCTGAAGGTGCAGGTGTGGACGGTGTGTGGTGTGGGAGAGGGGCGTCAGAAAGGATTGGACAAATTTGCTCCAGGATTGGTCAGGAAAAGTCATGTTTTTGAGGCTCCTTTGCCAGAAGAGGAAGACTGCTGATGGCACTGTTAGACTTTTCTGTGAAGCTAAGCTGGAGTGACCAAAGAGACTCTGGCCTGAGCCTTCTGCCTCACGCACTTGCTCAATCTCACTGACTGACCCCATCTGAGCAAAAAGGATCTCCCTGCAAGATCAACATGCATCCCTCAGAGACCAGCACACACACCATCAAAGCCTGAGCCACACGTAAGCAATGTCTGAATAACGTGCTTTTTAGAAATTCTCTCTTCTTTATTGCCCCATTCATATAAAAAGTTTGATATATCTGGACTGGTAAAAGAAAGCCACAGTGTATATGAAAATAGTTGTAGGAAGTTAAAAAATATGTTTGGAAAAGCAGTTACGGATTGCTTCCTTGGTTTAATTCTCCAGGCGATCGAAATTCTGGGTTTGAAACTCTTGGAAGTCCTCTGGGATGGTGTCTGCAAACAAAAACAGGCACGAGGGGGTTAGGAAGGCTGTTTCCCCTGGAATTCTGGTCCGGCTTGTGCTGTGCAAGCGTCCTGTAGGGGTCACTGTCAGCCCGAGCAACAGGCCCCAGAAGGCTCCACAGCCATTTTCTACCTCAGGCTGCTTTGCAAATTGTTGGCGTAAAACCCAGGAGTGCTCATTCACAGGCCTAAAGGAAATTAGCAGGCAGAGTGGATTTTGAGTGTGATTATGTTTGAGCCATAAGAAAATAAAGGCTGCCCGTAAATTAAATATGAATTTCTCACTGAACCCCCAAATCCTCAGCCAAGCAGTTAAGTTCTATGGGTCTCAATTTCCTCATCTATCAAATAGGGGGGAAGAAAGATCTATAATTTACTTCAGTTACGCAGAGACAGTTACATTTTAATGAATACGGGGCTTGAGCTTTGGGCTTCTGGGAGGAAAATGTGCTATAAAAACAAGGTGGTATTATTTGATTAATTCTAGTAATAATATTGTATAGTAACAAGAAGGTATGTTACCATTGCAGCGATACTTGAGGTTGGACCAAATGATGTTTTCTTGGGAGAAGCAGAACACGCCAAGCCGGCCTCCACGCATGGTGGTGTCTATGGTGACCCCGGAGTCAGCCACCAACTCGGAGCCTTCATAAAACCGCACTCTGTAGACAACACAGCCCAAGCTGGTCACCATGAAACTCAAACCAAGGTCAAGGTCAGACCCACTTCTTTGCGGTTTCATGATCCATTTTTCACAGGCCTGGACTGTGCTCTAGCTGTTGCCCCTTCCCTACTAGTTTGGGAGCTCCATGCGGCCAGGGACTGTATGTTCATGCCCTCCCATATTCTCTCTCTCCAAAGGCCCAACATGATGTTGGGCACAGAGTCCAACTCGGTGGGTACCTGCTGAGGAGTTAAAGAGAAATCACAGTATGACCCAAGACCAAGACACTTGGTGACCTCACTGTCCTCTGGGTTACCTTGTCTAGACATCATGCTTAAAAACCACTGCTTTTCCTTCAGTCTGAATGACAGACTCTGGTGGAATCTCAGAGTAGTGCTCCCTAAAGCAGGGTTTAGAAATTTGTGGGGACATTTCTGGCTGTTTCTCTGGCATTTCATGACAGAAGCCAGGGATACTGAATGGCTTACAAGGCCCTGGAGAGAAGAAGAAAAACTTGTCTTGCACCCTATATGCTTTTGGAGTGTTCCTCCAGACACTTGCGTAGGTGAAGAGCCCAATTATAATTATCTGGACCTAGAACCGAACTTCCTTTTACTTGTCTACATCAGGTATTTTTTTGCACTGTTTTAATGTATACTGAATTTTCCGGGGTAAACTGAGAAATTACGGAGCACTTTGTTTTGCTTAAAAAGAGCTGTTCTCCCTTTTAGACATTAAGTCACAGGCAGAACAATCTGCATTAGAAGGTCACTGCTTCTATTTCATGTTGTGGTGTCTAAGCATTTGCGTGATTTTGTTATAAATTATTTTTCTATTATAGGTGTTAGGGATCAGATTGTATTTTCTGTGATTTCATTCTGGGACAGAAAAGGAGGCATTAGGCTTCGCAGGACTGAGAACGTGATCGTCTTACTGTGTGACAACAGTACATTGGACTTAATGTCTCACAGAAGAACAAAATGTGAATTAGCGGTCAGGATTTTTTTTCCGGAAGGCTGCCTTCCTGCCCTGGTCAGGAGATAGCAATTGGTACTCCTTCCTCAGTGCATTACGTAAGCCGGCGTCAGTGTTGATCTGCGAGTTTGAGGACCGACGAAGTACGTGGTCTCAATTTCAAGGATTCAGCCGAAGCCGTCCATCGCTACTGAGAATACTTTTTAGTATTTGTTTTTTTAATAGTCCTAGAGGGAAAGGAGGCAGACTGTATGGGCTCACGTGAAGATCAGTTCCTGCCATGTGTGGGAAGACCTGGCAGCCCAGAGCCCAAGAGCTCTGGGCACTGCCTTCATAGCGTTTCTAGTCCAGCAGGGAAGAGACTGTGAGGGACTCACCACAATAAGCCCCATCCAGGGCAGGTGTGGATGGGAGGCTGAGCCACATCTCCCCTCCCACTGGTCAGCATGGCAGAAAGGGGATCCCCAGTTGAGCCCCTCCGTCCTCCAATGCTGAGACCACTCCTTCCCCCCGCCCCCATCTAGAAGGTCCCTCTACCCCCAGCTTGGCCCTAATGTCCAGGTGGTTAGTCTGAGCTTGGGTGTCTCCTTCCCACTTCTTTACTGTGGGCCATGAAGTCCCGGCATGCCCTCGGAGGCCATCCCGGGTCAGGACTGCTCGGGACAGCAAAGGCCTTGTGATGCAGAATGCGGGTGGCCTTGGCTTCAGGTGCAGGTGAGGAGGTAGGTCCTCCACGTACCTGATGTAGCCCACCTGGGGCCTGTGCTGCAGGAACCAGCGGTAGGATACCTTGTCCTTCCAGCCCACGTTCCTCGAGTCCTTCCACAGCAGCCGGACCTGGTCACTGGTGTCCCCGGTGTGCCACAGGGAGTTGCGGAGATGCTCCCCGGGTCCGGTCTTAGACTTAACGGCCTGGAAAGGCCATAGGCAAGGCTTTAGAACGGGATACACAGCCCACCTTTCCTGCTTCCTGGGTCCCTGGGTCCCTGGGTCCCTGGGGTGGTGACTTCATGGTTACAATCTGGCTGCCTTGCATTTAGATAACCCAAAATGCCCTTTCTACTGAGGTGACCCTTAATCCTTGAGTCCTCAGCACTGGCCGATACCCCATTAACCCATTCCCTGTTTTTCCAGCTGTAAATCCAGTGCTCCCCACATCTGTCCCGTGAGTGCTCCGAAGTCTGCCTTTTCTCCCAGCAGGAGGGACAGAGGCAGCGTCTCGGCCCTCCTAGCCAGAGCTGGCCCCAGCTCGGGAACAGATGAGCCAGTTTCCGGCACAGTGCACCTGCTGACGTGCCCCCGGAGCTCCCGCAACTGGTGGTCCCCACTGGGGCTGATGCTCTCCCGGTCAGTCACCCAGAGGTTAGGATGTGGCTTGTACATAGGAATGAAGGCAAGGCCCTGGGTGGGCTCTGGCCTTCCCTGCCCTGAACTCTAGCACAAGCCCCTCAACTTCATAGATGAACTGAATGCCCTATGGGAGAACAGGACCTAAAAGGAGGGCAAAGGGCGCAGAGGGGAGATGTGTGACTGAGACCTGTGGCTACCTTCAGCTGGATGCCGGGCTCGGCGACAGCCCGGAATGGCGTGGCTTGCCAGTATGTCTGCTCTGTCTGCTTCCACATGACCACGTAGAAGCTGGAGCTGTCCTGGTAACCGAAGATGAAGCCGGCATAGTCGTCGTCCGTCTGGGTGTTCACGTGGAAGGTCCCTTCAAAGTCAACTCCGTTAAACGCCGTGTACCCTGGAGGGATCGGAAGCGGATCAGAGAAGTGGGCCAGCCACGTGAGTAGCTGCAAAGACTGGATTCTAGCCACATGGTGTGGAGGCCCTGGACCTACCCACTGCCAGGCCGGGATCGCTGTTCATGGTCTGCACAATTTCCATGCCCTGCAGAGAAAGTTGAAGGAGTTAAGGGCCACCGTAGAGGGTGGAGAAGCCCGAGGAGGCCCAGAGCCTCCGGCGCACTGGGGAGTGGTCAACGTGTTCTGACCTCCACACAAAGACTGCATTATCTGAGCAACTGCTCTACCCTATCATGTGCTCCAGGAAAGCATAGACTTGTGAGGGAAAAAAAAAAAGCGGAATAGAAATAATTTTGCTAGAACTGTAATGAAGGGTCTGTTGAATCAGCTTAATTTTGAGAGAACATACACTTTTTTTTTTTTT